TATAAAGCGGAAATATTTAAATACATATAAATATTAACTGAACGGTAATAAATAAATAGCAAAAAAAATATATATAAATATCTTACCTTAAAATAAATTGATATCATATGATCAATATTATCTCTCATACTGAAGTCACTATTTTCATGTTAAATTCAATGATTATGTTAATTAAAAATTATTTCAAAGGTTCGATTTGATTCGAGCGAAATTTTATCGATTTGATTCGATTCAATTCGACATAAAAAATCTTTGATTCGCACATCTGCACTAACTAATCAGTAATGGAACGGAGTTAAACGTTTTGTGCCAAAGAAGATTGTGTGGGCTGCCTTCAAATCCAATTCGATAAAATTCTTTATGATGGAAGAAATTAAACTTGACAATAGGAATCGGAGACGTATTCTTGAATCATCCATTCACCAAGGAAGAAATACTTGAGAATTTACTTATGGGAGATATAAAATTTGTTTGCAGAAATAAACTGTGTCGCAAAAATAAATTTTATATCCTACAGAAAAATTCTCATTCATTTTTCTCAGTGTGACGATTGCACTGAGAAATATACATTAAAATTTACCTGTAGAATATAAAGTTTATTCACAAAGAGAAATATTATTTCTTAGAAATTTTATTTCACAGAAATAAATTGCAGATGCCACAAATAAATTTTCAAATATTCTTTCTCAACTCCCAGTTACAGCAACGAAACCTCCCGCTTCATAAACTAAAATACAACAAGAAACAACGGAGAATGCCAGACGTGTCTTCTCCTCGGCAACTGTACTCTGGTGAAATTTCCAGGTATAGATCAAGATAAGTTACATCATTCTGCCGCAATCAAGAAAGACAGCGGCCGATGCTAATCTACTGTGTGAGTTATCCCAAATGAGAAAGGAGCGAGGACTTCATGATCGTAATGGCAACGTGAGACTGCGTGAAGCTTCTCGAAAGTGCGATAAAAAAATCGTCCCTGCCGTCATTCTTCGCACAACTAATCCGAGGGTATTCCGTTCGCTTCGGCGTAATCATGAGCTCCGGCCACTTTCGAATCTTGACCGATGGCCAGATCCTTCTCCCTTCCTCTCTCTTTCTCACTCTTTCTCTCGCAATGTGGCCCCTTTTGTAAGCAGAGAGGTTTCTTTACGTGCCCATCGAGGATTTACGTCATGCCTAAGCGGAGAAGCTCGGTCTCCCCTCTCCTCGATGAAGGATAATACGTTGGCTCCACGGGTCCACAGGTGAAAGGAGGAAGGTGTCCGGTCTCTCGAAGCACCGGCAAAGAAAACGGATATCTTCGGAAAAGATGGCGGCACGAAGAAACCCTGTGCGAAATGAGGAGACGAAATCGACATCTCTAACGGAGATCATAGGGTCATGCGATAGAGGGGTAAGAGGAAAACGGCGAAATCGTGATGATCGCGTCGCGATCGACGAATGGCAGAGTGAAATTAGGAATGTCGAGGAAGAGAAAAGTTCGTCGTTCGCCGGGAGCGATCGCACGATCCGCAGAAAGGTAAGTCGCGGCAAGAAGGGGAAGCAGTACACGGTGGCTTTCAACGGTGGCGACGTTTTGTTTATTTTTTTTTTCTACAAAAAAGCCTTTATACAAGTATAAAAAGATGCGTGGTTAAGAAATAGAGCGTTAAAACGTATAAAAAATAGTGTGTATTCGTGGCTTCGTGTGTACGTGTTGGCTCGACTCGACGGCGTCCGTTCCGTAACCCAAGTCTCCCTTCTCCGCCATGGTGATTCTCCTCATGACCTCTTGGACAAATGGGAGCTGATAGTCCGCATGTGAAATCGATTCAGCTGCGCGCGTTCTCTTCATGATTATCTCCGAGCTGACGCGATCTTCCGTCGGCTCGTTCGAAGAGAACGCGTCAGGAAGGGACTTTCTTCCCCGCGAATTTCTGCCGGCTCCCGATGACTCGGGGCGAGGTCCTCCGTGGTCCTCGATGCTACGATCAAGAAGAATTACGCAGCGGACGCCGCGCTGCGATAGAATTTTATTTACAAGGCGCTGATCGCGCCGATCACGTCTTCGGCTTGTCGGCCTCCTCCTCCTCCTCCTCCTCGTCCTGTTCCCTCCTCGTCCTATGAGTGCTCCGGCGACCCCGCGTACAAGCGCGATCACCGGCTGTGTGAAGTGTGTCAGCGACTGCGACTGCCTCTCTTCTTGAGATATCACTGATCCTCGAACCCGCGCGGACGACCGCGACGATTGATGCGATTTTGGTACGATTAGACTTCGGCACCGCGCCGACTCTTCAGGGTAGCCCCAAGTGACCGTCCGGGTGAAAGTAAGGAGCAAAAAAAAACAGGGAGGAAAAAACTGCCCACGTTCACTTTCGCGGACCTCGACTTGTCGAAGCGACGACCGTTGGATCTCCGACAAATCGAAAGCCCGGAGGGAGTGCCGTTCTTCGGCGGTACCTTTCGGTGGATCCCGGGAGACCCTGACCCGTTGGAGTGACGACTATTTGATCTTCAACGGCTCAGACGCCGTCCCATGGATCTCCGCTTTTCTATTCAGCTCGTTCGTTTTCTGGCTTGACCCCGACACTCCGATCGAGGATATGGCGCGATTACACGCTAAACTCGCGAAGCTACACTGGGTCTTGGACAATCTGAGGCTGTTGGGACGGTCCTCGGTTCCTTGATCTTCGTGAAGCGAATCCGCGCGACGAGACCTGACCCTGACATCGACGATCTTCCGAGTTACGCCGGAAAAATGTGTTACTTTAAGAGAGAGAAACCGCAGGTAGTCACGATTATTCGTGCTGACGTATCTCCAATCTTCGTTACTTCTGTGTCTCGGAAGATAGTCGTTATCGCCGGCCGGTGCCATTATCCACTCCTCCTTTTCTTCCTCGTCCACTCTCGCTTTCTCTCTAACGCATTCTCTCTCTCCCTTTCTCTCTCTCTCTCGCTCTCATCATCATTCAACCTAAGATGTCTCCTTAGAACGGCGCACCGTAGCTGCCGCTCGGCGGCCTGCTGGGCGTTCCATAGCTAGTGCTGGGTCCACTGGGATAGCCTCCTGGGCCTTGGCTAACCTGGTTGAACTGGGCCACTTGGATAGCTTGCCTGATGCCTTCGAGGTCGATTCCTACGACGCGGGTCTGGTAGCCTGGCACGCCGTAGGTCGGGCTCGGGGCGCCATATTGCGGAGACGGAGCGCCGTAGCTGGAGCTGGGCGCGTATCCTCCGGACACACCGAACCCGCCACTCTGCTGTGATTGGAGTTCTTCCTTCAGGAGGATCTGGCGGATTTGCTCCAGCAGAGCTCCGTCCACGGAGGCGCCCTCGCTGGTCTGATAGCCAGTGGACACTTGCGTGTAGCCACCGCCACCACCGATACCGAAGCCGCCGCCGCCGCCGCCGCCGCCGCCGCCATTAAAGTAGCCGCCGCCGCCAGTCGGTCTGCTGTAGCTATAGCCGGACACAGGCGGCTCGGCCAGGGTTAACCCTGCCAGACCGATGATCATACACTGTAATTGGAGAAAAGAAACTTTGTTACTTTAAGATCGTTACTTAGGCTCGTACTCTTGGGCCCACATTAACAGTTATTGTTTGAAACTTATCTCAAGTGAGACACTCAGATTTGGATTCAGAGTTAGATGAGAATTCTTCAGTTAAATCGCGATTACAGATAGAAATGTCACATGTATCATGATTCAACCGAAAAAACTTGGATATAATTCTAAATAAATATTTGAATATCTCACGTGAAACTAATTTCGAGTGTCAAGTATTAATTGTACATTCAGAAAAAAAATCTTTATTCTCTCAAAGAGGAAATCTTGCAGACTTTCATGGAATTTGGATAACTAGATCAAAAACTTTCTCTCTATTTGAGAGGAGTAATTTCTACGTAATTAAATTAAATTGAGCGATTACTGGTAATTTCTCAAGTATTCTTGCAGTAATTATATATCATCAATTTTTGACGTATGATATTGATCAACGCGATTTTGATTTTTAACTTCGGAAAGTATCGTCATCAATCATCACTTTGTTAATGAAGCTTTCTGCGAGAAATCAATAAGGCGTGAACAAAAAGGAAAGTATGATCAGGCTATAAGCGCCTAATATGAAACTCGTATCGCGAGAAACCAGAGGATCAAGTAACAACGTAGACTGTTATGAAATGCGATTTAGAAAAAATAAATAAAATAAAATCAGTACACTCGCTGTTTCTATCGATCTCCATCATTGCGAGTTCTCTACATTTCTTCGCGATCTCTCCCTTACCGCCCACGCGCGCAACTCTATACTAAATTTCTTCACTTTCTTTTGTCGAAACTCCCACTTTTCTTTCTCTTTCTCTCTCTCCCTCTCTCTCTCTCTCTCTCTCTCTCTCTCTCTCTCTATCTCTATCTCCCCCTTTCTCCTCCTATCTCTCACGTACACCCTTTCTTATTGTAAATAGGAATGGAAAAATATCGTGCTTACCGCGATCAAAGGATTCATGTCGGCTTCTGCGATGCCGCTCAGTTCTGTGACTCCGTGGAAGGTAGACCGGAGTCATTTATACTCCCGGGAGAAGCAGGGGGATATGCGTAAGGCCCCCACGAAGAAGAGACGGGGATTCTCGAGTGAGAGTAATTCAGTTGTGGTGAGACGATTCTCTTCCTCCCCTCCTCTTCCCTCTCGACCTCGTGCTTCTCTCTTTCTCCATCAAGTCCCGTCATCCAGGCGTCTTGCTCGCGAGGATCGCCAACGCACTCGAGATTTGGACGTTGAGATCTTGCGAAACCGCAATCTCTTGATAATCAGCCGCGAATATCCACTAGCGTCCTAGACCTAGACTTCATTAGTCGGATACTTCATCGTAACGATGGTCCTGTGAAAAAGAATTCACCTCGACCATCCGCTATATATTAGTTCTCACATGAGTTTTTTACGATTATTGTAACGTACAAGTAGAGACAGTCGATATCTGGGGGGAAAAAGGTGGATAATTTCATTTGTGTTTATAAATCGCCGTCGTTGTAAGATTATTGTTGTCTGTCATGAAGATTTTGTCTGTCAACGATAGCGAAAATCTTTTGACAACTTCAACGTGCCATTGAAATTTTATGTGGGGTACCTAGAAAGAGTTATCGTTCGCGGATTGCGAAAAAGATACTTTAATGCGCGTCCGTGACCGGCCGTTTTATAATTTATGCAAATACTCACACATTTTACTGTTACCTGAATACATCATTCCAACTGTATCTAATGACACATAACGATTGAAAGTATTCAGATTTTATTATGTTCGTTTGAATCGCAGAATTACAATAACTTAATGCTGAATAATTGAAATCTCATCTATTGCGAACGGGTAACAACACTTTAGATGGATTCTTATATCCTGAATAGGTCACTTGAAAGAAAGTTGGTAGTAATTTCAAGAGTGCTTGAGGTCGTGCGGCCAACGAGCACGTCACTCTCGATCCAGCTAATGATGTATCTGCCAAAGGAAGAGAAGATTCATTGTCTTTGTGCGGTTTTCAGAATTTCTGCGAGCGAAAACATTACGGAGTTTTGTATAAACTTTACTAGGATTCACATTTCCCGAGTAATACGAGGAAAAATTCACTAAGACAATGTCTCGGATACCACCACCGCTTCGCATTTCAATATATCTCTTTTGTCTTTTTCTCCTTTACTGCAGCTTTAACAGCCGTGGTCATTGTCGCTCAAAGTACTTCATTGGCATTACATCAGAAGTAGATACATTCCAACGTGAATGCTTCAAGTGAGGATAATTAATCCGCGTGGATTTGTTGGTTAACAACTTGACCGGTTCTGCCTGTTCCTTCTGAAGGAATATCTTCGTGCGCTTAATTGATATTTCACACACGTGAAACTGACATGAGTTTGCTTGATGCTTACAGGCATTACGTATCTCACGGTGATTCACTTGTACATCGCGTAAATTGTGCGTGTCGTACCTAGAATTGGAAATTGGTGGATTTCTGACCGAAATCAATTTTACTGGAGGATGTAGAACTTAAAATTTCGCGTCAACGGACAATGGCAAATACAAGATCCCATTAAGATATGTTAAACTGCGAGAATAAATAATTTGCATCCTGCCATTTGCTAGATTCGTGTGTAGGTGAGTCCTGAACGGGACGCCGGAATACGCGATCGCCCGGTAGAGTCACGAACTCTTGGTTGGTTGTAAAAGGAGAGTCGGGCATATCAGGAAGAAAAGTACGTGCTACGCCATCATTGTATCATCTACGCGGTAAAGCTTCCGTGCGTTCGAATCGACGTAATCATCGACTTCGTGACGAGCGCATCTTGCACGCATCAACGCAGTGTTGCCATTCTAAAAGGTATTCCTAATGCATCGATACCTGCTTGATCAAAGCTCTCGTACGTGACTTTGGTATGCGAAAGCTTCATAAATATCATTATTCGACGTAATTTTTCATTCGGCATCGCTTATAATAAATTGCATTTCGCAATGTTGTTGATATCTCTCGATGCGAGAACAACGTTTCTTTTTCGCGCGGAGTATTTAATGGTCGTATCTATGAAGAACTAGGAATGTTGAAACCGTGATACTTCCAGAATACAGAACATAAAATGCTAAACGCGCAATCTCAAATTCGTAATCACAGCTGTCGCACGATTCCTAATATCTTCGCGAGACTCGACAGTGAAGAAATTATTCTATAAGTCCCAAGTTCTCTATCAGCTGTAATGGCTCTTCGATGTCGAGAATAATATATTGAGAGAAAAATATCTAGAAAGTATACACTTATTCGGCGGGTACTGATAACAGTTTACTCAAAAATCTAAATTATTTTACTTAAATAGAACGAACAACTGTTTTCGTGAAAAGCTGAGGTTCGAAAAAATGTACATTTTCTTATTTGAAAAATATTTGATGTCAGCACAAGTAAGCGTGTCAGCAATACCTAGCGAATTGGTAATTTTTATCTCGTAGATCTTTTGTTTTCTTAGTGTATAACTTCAAAAATATTTCAATTACTTCGTTCTTCGCGACAGTGGCAGATTTGATGATGCTTAGAGGAGGAAGTCCATTATGGCTGGTCTGGCAACACAGCGTTCGTCCAGTGTCCGGTTCTCATCCTCGCTGGCGGTGGTACCAACTAAACGAGAGGGAAAACGCTTTCTTCGGCGAGGAATTTAATTATCCGGCCTGTGAACTCTTGACCCACTTCTCCGCGCATTATGACCTCGTATATCCTGCCATTCCTACCTCTTTCGCTTTCTTCTTTTGCTTTTTTTTTTCGATCTGGTCCGCTCTATTTTTTCTCTCCTTTTTTCTCTTCCCGCGATCTGGCCAGTTGTTGGTCTCGACGACAACGACGACGACAACGGCCATGCGGACGAGGACTGGCGCGCGTTTTTCGGCGGATTACTTTCACGTGTCCTTGCCGCTGTTTGGGGCTAATAGTACACGCATATAGCGGAACGGCCGATTTTGGTGCGGCAAGTACACGTACGCTGACGATTTTTTGACAGATGACTGTCTCGATTGTGTCTCCGTTGCGTCAGCAACATTATATTCAGTTACGCAAAAATTGCTGACAGCTGCAACTGCCGACTCGGTCTGTGTATGCGTGCTGGTGTGGCTGCGTCTTCGCGTGTTCACTGAATCTTTGACACGTTTACAATTCGCACGAGCGTGAATTCCACTCGCGTGTTTGGGAGGGAGGGGGAAAGCAATAAAAAATTCGCGATAACGACGTGAACCTTCGCCTTTTATCACCAGCCACATCTGTGTTATTGCGGCATGTATATGCCTGAATTTTTTATTCCAATACTTACGAGACTCACGAGGCTATATTAATCTGAGTCATGTGTAGGTCAGACAATCTACGAATATCTTCGAGAATTCACTGCATTTCTTATACAGCGTCATCGTCTCTTATCTGTCGACACATATTTGCGCAGTTTGGATGCTGAGTCGAAAGGGCCTTGAATAAAATTACAGTTTCCGATAAACAATACTTTTTCCTCTAGTTGCTTGATGATGCTTCTCGTGCAAATTTTGAAGCACTATCATACGCGGACAGGTCTGTCTTTCTTGTCACTTCTGTCAATACGTCGCTTAGAATGTCAAAGTGTTGATTCATTATGATACTTCATGGTACGAGGATGCTTTAATGTTTGAGAGAATAGTGTTAAATCATCGATGTGGTGTGTGTGTCAGCTATAAAAAAATCTGTATAACGTATATTCATGTTCCTTTGTGATGGTGCTGTACAATGAGTTCGCGCGTGCGTCATTTCATGCTGGGCGATTTATTCCTGCCAATTTCGACATTATTCGAAAGAAAGCAAACAAATCGCAGAGATAAAAAGAAAAGTCGCGACTTTGCGCGCGCGAACACGCCCATACACACCTCAGAGAAATAAGAGAGAGAGAAAGAGAGAGAGAGAGAGAGAGAGAGAGAGAGAGAGAGAGAGAATGCGACATTCCGTGTTATGCAGCATGAATTATGGAAGATGAAATATGTTGACGCAGAGAAAACGATAATGTATCATTTTATGACGCTGCATTTGCCACATGTGATGTATTTGGTAATCGATCGTGCTTTTTTACGTCCTCCGCAATTTTTAATATTTATCATTTTAATTTCTGTTTTTTAATTAAAAAATGTTTTGTTTTTTAATTTTTTGCTAAGCCAAGTGAAACCCCTTTCTCTCTTTCTCTCATTTTCTCTCTCTTTCATTACCATCTCATCACCACCTCATTATCATCATATGTTCACAATTTTGACTTCCTCGATCATACGTAGAGGCAATCGATTGCTGCGATCGCTGATCTCGATGACTCGGGCAACACTCTCCAGCCCCCGAGTCACGTCGCGGCGTGTGCTGCATCCGAGTTTCTCAGATATTAATGTTACAACGTCGCGTGGAAGGAACGACGGGGACTCCTCTCTCGTGTGGAAGCCGAGCTTGACTTTCGCTCGGCCACCCGAGCTTCTGCTCTCTCGTGCCGGTCTTCTTCCTTTTCGCGACGTCATTCGCTTCGTCATTTTTCTCGTACGCGCCGCGAGGAACTTCCTTTCAAACAGTCGCGACTATTGACTCGACATCGTTGTCACCTTTGGCTTTTTGTGCTCAGTTTTGCGCTCGGACTCTCTTGCAGTATGCTGAATAGCGCAATCTTGCAATATCGGAAAACGCATTTCAAAAGCTTGCAAAAATCTTCAAAAAAGAACGTCTCTTAGACATCTTAAGATATTTTTTAAGTTTAACCTACAATGTGCTCTTTGTTTCTATTTCCTTCTCTTTATCTCTTTCTGACTCAAACCTTAAGCCAGAGAAAGACAGACAAAAAAAGACAGGAAGCAAGGAGCATATCGTAGATCAAGTTTTAGACACTTGTGTTGCCTTGAATTCTATTTCTCTCATGATAATTATCTGTGTATTAGAAACGATTTAATTGCGAAAACACATTGCCCTCCCACTCTCACTCGCATATTCACATCATGAACGTTCAAAAATCCTTCGAGCCATTTCTATGTGTGAAATCATTAAAATGTCCGTCCACTGGTTTTGGCCAGTCAATAAAAATGTTACATCACGTCTTCCATAATCGTTGCCCGATTGTGTTTCTGCCGCCACAGAAAGTAGTCACGATTTTATTTCGAATATGCATTAAACGGTCGAGTAATTAGCGATACCGTGAGAGCTTGATTAGTCGCTTGTCCCCTCAATTACCGTACAAACGCTGCGTGACTATCGCTTGATCGACCACTGTTGCCGCGTAGGTTACAGTTCAAACTTTCACAATTTTGTACGTCGAGGAGAATCTTGAGTTGGAGACGCAAAATTTACATACACGCCGAAAAAGCAAATGCAATTGCGGTTTTCCACTTCGCGATGTTTATAGGCAAAGTCCGCGAATGCTGCTCTCGCAAAATTCGCTCTTTCAGTCGCGGTCCACATATCAAAGTTTTTTTTAGAAACAATTCAAAGAATTTAGTCCCACGTTCGGCGCCTTCAACATGCGCGTCAGATTATTATCGTTGCATAATCGGCAATTTAAGAAGATTAATAAGAATCTACGTTTCTTATTAGACTTAAACTTCTTAGCACCGATCGAAAGATACACGTTTAGGAGGGCAAACACGTCTTGAACAAAACGTCCAACGGCGTAACTCTTTAGAAAGTGTAATCGTTTACGAGACGCGATGTTTACAAGATTAATGGACAGCGCCTGTAGTTGCGATCTTCTGTCGACGCAATTTTACGTAACCCGCCGTTCCAGGCGCAAACTCTTCTCATTTGAATATACTAATTTCTAACACACGAGGATTATCCCGCGAGACCCGATAGGAGGCGGCTGAAATGGGCGAGCGCGCGTCGAAATTCAGCTCGATGTTCCCGTAAGGTGAAAGGTTGAGGCTCTCGTGGTGAAAGGTGAAAGGAAATAATCTACGTTTGCACAAAGCTCGAGCAAACGATTGCCCTTCGCGATCTGATCGCGAGTGACTCATCCTGCCATGAGCGATAATAAAGAGTCTTGCGCTGCTTTTCGCGGGCGAGATCAGCTCGAGATGCAGCTGCGCAACTGCGCGCTACTGTTCGCACGCGCGTTGGCCGTCTGTTTGAGATAAACGGTGGCTTACTATATTTGCAAAGTCCGCGAGTTGTGCGACATGTAAACCGTCCATCGCAGGCGGCGCGACACTTGTCGCATTAGCGTGCTGACGCGAATGTGTTTGCACCGGGCAAATGTTTGTATGCGAACCGTTGGATAATCCCTTTCTCTCTCTGTCTCTCTCCTTCTCTTCCTCCCCCTTTCTCTCTCTCTTTCTCTTTCTCTTTCTCTCTCTCTCTCTCTCTCTCTCTCTCTCTCTC